AAGACAGTCAAGGTAAATGACTTCTAGGTGGTCATACAATAACAAGATAACAAGGGTGGTCTTATGCCCTGTGTCAAGATGACCCAAGATAGCAAGCGGATTACAGAAGTGAAAACAAGCTGGTTAGTCAGATGTATAATGTCTGGAATTAGCACATTCCATGATTCATGGCTAGGGAAATTTTCCAAGACCCAAGGTTGGCCCCAACCCCTTTGGAGTGGAGCAAAGTTGCTGCTGAAATGGCTCTGAACAGAATGGAGTAACTTAGGGAAATTTGCTGAGCCAGTTCAATGACCACAAGGAAACAGTCTTCTAGACAGCTGATCAGTTACTAATATGAACTCACAGCAATGGTTACAGCATACACAAGTCCTATGCAAGCTCAAACCAGACAAAATCCCAGCATGACATGGGGATAAGAAATCCCAACCCAACCTAAGGCACTTTTGACAATTGATAGCTGCTGGGAGGAGGAAGACACAGTCTTATAGGTCTGGAACTCTTGGTGAGCCCAGTGGATGGACCCACACTGAAGGACATTTGGGGACACAAATCAGATTCTATAGGCATATATATATTATATATGTATGAATACATTAAATTGGGCAGGGGCAGTGGGATGAGGTACAGATAGGGGAGGGATTCTAAATATCATCAAACTATATTGTATGAAAATTCAATTAAAAAAAAAGAAAGTAGATTCAGATAAAGATAGTCCCCCAAACAGCCCAGGTGTCCTGTTCGAAGTCATCAGTGTCATGAATACAGAGATACAGAGAGAGGCTACAGAGCCAGGTTAAGGGGTTGTAAACTGTCCTGAACTGGATCTCCAATTTAAAAACTGGGATCTCATTGAGGCCACAGGTGAAATCTGAACTTGGTGGTGAGATTAGGCTAGCATGCAGCAGAGCTCAGTATGTTGGACTTGGTGCTTGTGTGGTGATGTATGTAATGTGCATTCATGTTCTCAGAGGTGTCAGCTCATGTTTACAACTTACTCTGAAACAGTAAGAAAGAAAAAAGGAAGGCAGTTGAAGAAGTGCATGTGGTCAGATGTTCAGAATTAGCAGCTCTCAGGAAATGCTTTACAGATTTCAGTCACAATGAACCATCCCTGCAGCTTTTCTGACAGTTGGGAGTTTGTCAAAATAAAAAGGGAAAGGGGGCTAGAGAGATGGCTCCGCAGTTAAGAGCACTTGCTGGTCTTCCAGAGGATCTGGGTTCAATTCCCAGTACCCACAAGGAGGCTAACAACTGTCAATAACTTCAGTTTCAGGGGACTCCGGCATCCTCTTCTGACCTCCATGGGCATTATAGGAAACAGGCACATTTACATACATGCAGGCAAAACACATAAAAGCTAATAAAAATAAGATATTTAGGGGCTGGAGAGATGGCTCAGAGGTTAAGAGCAATGGCTGCTCTTGAGAGGACCCAGGTTCGATTCCCAGCACCCACATGGCAGCTAAGAACCGTCCTTAACTCCAGTTCCAGGAGAATCTGAAGCCCTCTTCTGACTTCCACAACATTGCACGACACTCTGTCCACTTGATGTGTCCTTTCTGACATCTTTACAGTGGTGATTTAACACACAGGCTGGGCAGACGTGGTGGGCACGCACCTTTAATCCCAGCACTTGGAAGCAGAGGCATGTGGATTTTGGTGAGATGAAGGCCAGTCTGATCTACATAGATAGTTCCAGACCACCTGGGACTACAGGGAGTTCCTAAAAAAAAAAAAATTAAATTAAATTAAATATTTTAAAATAAAATTAAAAGGGAAAGAAGGTAAGAAGCTAAGAGTGTAGCTCAGTGGCAAGGTGTTTACATAGCATGCATGAGAACCTGGGTTCAATTCCCTGCATACATGTGTACACATACATGCACACGCCACAAACCAGGGTAAGAAAACAATTTGCATATTTAATGAAAAACCCAAAATAGCACATTAAACTCTAGTCTAGGTCCCCGTTTCAATAAAATCAGCACCTAATATTAACCACACTCATCAATGGGAAGGGAAATAATGAGCCAGCTCCTTTGATCGGACTATTCGCCATCTCGTAGTTTTAGTGTATTATTTTTGATAGCCAGTTTTGTGTGCAAGTATTATTTGCATTTGAGAGAGAAACCTTGCAGGTCATGTTCATCTTTGGCGATATTGCATGACTCTTTTCTGTACACAGTTCATGCCTTGCTTTGTTTACTGTGCGGTGACAGTGGCTGCAAGTGGCACCCACAAGGCCCCACGCAGCTCCTGCAGCAAGGCAAGAACTCTTGCAATGCCCCCTGGGAGGGGCGCGAATGGAGGGCCTGGGAGGGTCGCGGGAACTGGTCCTTCATTGCTCCTGCTGCGCATGTGCAGTTCTTCCTCATTGTTCACTCCCGCGTCTGACTTGGGGCGGCGGAAACCCTCACAACCTACGCGTCGCTCAGTGACCGGGTCCCCAGGACAGGCGCGCCCCACGGGTGAGAGCATCTGGAGGGTTGCTTTGCTAGGTTTGGGGGCGGCTTACGTCTGCTGCTGGGGAAAGCTAACACCCGTGTGGGTCCTGGGGGCGCAGAGCCGGACACTGTCTCCTGTGGCTGCAAAGCTCGGTGGACCGGGGGTCTCCTCCAACAGGAAGGGCTCGGGGCACAGGCTTGGTGGTCGGAAGAAAGTGCGCTGGGGAAGGCGTTAGCTGCCGACAGCGGCTCCGAGCTCAGCAGCTCCACATCCACCCCTCAGGATGAAGATGGAGTCCGGTGACACCTGTCCCATTCTGTAGGCAGAAGGCTCTGCAGCTTAGCAGGCTGATTTCAGAGCCGAGTTCAAATTCTAGCTCTACTATTGAGTCCCCATGGGCAAGATGAGGAACCCGAGACTCAGCTTCCCCATCTATATTTGGAATTTTTCCCTCAAGTCTGCCTCAGGGCTGTTCTGTGCAGGGCGTAAGCCCCCAGCAGGGCTACTGGTATCATTCTTCCTGTTCAGGAAGCCCTGTGCAGCATTTGGCCCCCAAAGACCCCTGAAAGTCGGTGTTACAACACTACTTTAGCAGAGAAGAAAGTCAAGACTCCAAGAGCAAAGAGCGTGTCTTGCAGAGGAGAGTTGGGATGCAAACTCTAAATGATTCATTTCCAAATCTTAGGCTGGGTTTGACCTGCAGGGCCGAGGCAAGGAGTTCACCACCTCACCAGAGACCTGTCAGTCAGCAGAGGTTGGGCCATCTTCCAATGGAAAGAGGTGAGCTGGGCCAGCCAAGGGTGGTGAGCTAGGGGTAGACTGCTTGGAAGGAGGAGGTGCAGTGGAGGGCTGGTGAGGAGACATGGTTAAGAGGAAGTGTGGGGTCCACGGGATCCACAGGGTCCATGCCTCCTGGAGACGCTTCTCAGATTCTGCAGAGCCCTCAAGTCACAGTCATGCCACCCACAGGGACTTCTGTTTCAGGAGTATGCCATCGAGCAGTCCTTAACATGGTTTCTAGAGCCAGACTGCCAGGGTTTGAGCCCAACCCCACCACAACAGTGGCTTTACCCGCCTCCCCATTTCCTAGTCCCTAAAATGGGAGCAGCAGTGCTTACCTCCTGCTGATTATAAGATCTGAATGAGGCCATGAGTGGAAAGTTCTCAGAACAATGTGTGCGAGGTCCAGCACCATCAGATATTGGTACCCAGGATCAGCACCAGCTCATTATAGTCTGAACATGTGCTTATTTGTACCTTGACAATCAGTGAGATTCCTGACTCCTGGGCCTCTGTCTACATGTCTCAGCTGAGTCGTTTCTTAATAAAAACAAAAAATCATTTGAAGATAGTGAAAGCAAAGAGCTAATTTTTAAATAGACTTCACCTAAAGCACACTCATCTCTGCTGTCAGCACTGCCTATGAATTCTTGAAGTTGGCTCTGGAGAGATAGCTCAGCCGTTAAGAGCACTTGGTGCTCTTGTCGAGGATGTACATTGTGTGGCTCATAACTGCCTGTAACTCAAGCTACAAGGGATCTGATGCCCTCTTCTGGCCTCAGTGGGCACTTGCATTCATGTTCAAATATACACACAGGCAGAGACACATACATGTAAATAAAGATAAAATAAATCACAGAAAATAATAAATTATTTGAGTTAAGGAGTTAAGTTAAAATTATATGTAGAGGGAGTTGGAGAGATGGCTCGGTGGTTAAGAGCACTGACTGGTCTTGCAGAGGACCCAGGTTCTGTTCCCAGCATTCCCATGAGTGTTAACGGATCAGTAACTCCCGTTCCAGATGATGTAGCACCCTCTTCTAGCCTCTGTGGGCATTGCACAACATAGGTGCACCTGTATACCTACAGTCAAAACACTCATACACATAAAATAAAAATAAATCAAAAAAATTTTTTTTATTTTATGTGTATGAGTGTACTGCCAGCATGCATCTCAGTACACTCATGTCACGCAGTGCTGCAGAGGTCAGAAGAGGGTGCAGATCTCCTGGAACGGGAGTTATAGAAGGTTTCTACATAGCAAGTTGCAGGCCAGCCAGGGCCACAGGGTGAGACCCTGTCTGAAAACAAACAAGGGCTGGAGAGATGGCTCAGTGGTTAAAAGCACTGGCTGCTCTTGCAGAGGACCTGGGTTTGATTCCCAGCACCCACATGGCAGCTAACAACCATCCATAACTCCAATTCCAGGGGGTCGGATGCCTCTTTTTGGCCTCCACAGGCATTGCATACACATGGTACACTTAGATACATGGAAGCAAAGCATTCATACGTAGAATTAGTAATGATAATAATAATAATAATAATAATAATAATAATAATAATAAAGAGGCCGTGAACATTGTGGGAAGCCCACAGGAAGCCAGCACTGACTCCCCACCTGCTTCTGAGCAGCCCTCTATCTGTACCTTCTGAAGTACTGGAGTGATGTGTCCCCCACGTGGCCGTGCATCAGCACACGCATGTGGATTTTAGCAAGCTGAGGGCCTTAAAAGTGCCAGTGTTTCTCACAACTTTGCCCCCTCCTTCTCCCACAGTCCTGCTCCAAAGTCCTGGAAGTTCTGGAACTCCCGGAGCAGAAGACAATGGACACAGCCCAGGTGAATCTTGGCTTATTACTCCACCTTCTCAGCTAAGCGTAGTTCTTTGAGTTTTTGGTAACCACACTTCCTTGTCAGTTTTTTTCCGACGAGGGCCTTTCCTGACTCCCCCGCATCATCATTTCACTGTTTCTCTTGAACTGTTAACATGCACACAGCATAGATCCCTATCTATCAGCACCAGGCATTGCTTTTACCAATGATATCACCTGGTTCAGCTCTCTCTCGAGAGTCTCATTTTATGGGAACCATCTAAATGCTCCTCTTTTTCCACTTTATATCCTCTTTAAAAAAATATTTTATTTATTATTTTTATCTTATGTGTATGAGTGTTTTGCCTGCATGTATGTAAATGCACCTGTGTCATGCAGTGCCCACAGAGGCTAGAAGAGAGTCAGATCCCTTGTAACTGGAGTTACAGACAGTTGTTAGCCACCATGTGGGTACTGGGAATCAAACCCAAGTCCTTGGAAGAACAACAAGTGTTCTTAACCGCTGAGCCATCTTTCCAAACCTCTTATATCTTTATGTAATACATATTTTTAATCCTTTGTATCACACCTTCTAGCTACTTAAACCATAACAATTTAAATTTAAATATGCATTTCTGGTTATTTTTGCTGCCCCTAATTGTGGCATAGAGTGACAAAGTTGATCAGCTGTAATATTATTACTTTAAAATTTTATTACATTTATTTACTTGTATGGGGGCATGCGTGCTAGAGTGTGAGTGTGGAGGTTAGAGGATGACTTTGGGGAGTCGGCTGTCCTTCTACCTTGTGGGTCCTGGGGATCAAACTCAGGTCACCAGACTTGGCAGCAAGCACCTTTACCTGTTGAGCCCCCTCACCAGCTCCATCTGTAGTATTATTTATAATGTAGAGCTGCTTGTCGTGTTCCAACTGCTGTTAAATTCCCTCCCTGGATTAACTCATATGAATCTGAGCACATTATTGGGTACACTTACATTGCACCCTTTTTACTGTGAGTTACAAAGAGTTAGATAATTCTCAAATGCTTGTGATGAAGTAGTTTGAAGGGTACATCTTAGATATTTGGTCAGATGGAGACCACCTCAAGTTCAAGTTCACTGTAAGTTTTCCACAGATGCTGGGGGTTAATTTTCATCGTTTAGCATTGAGGCCACTGGGCATCAAGCATCTTCCTTAACTCTGGCAGCTGTACTTGGGCAGAAAGAAGGTTTGAGGCGCCCTCTGCTGACCACAGAGGAGCAGGTGGTCTGTTTTCAGTGGGTGTTTTTTTACCTTAATCCACCTAGCAGTGGCCCCACCTCCTGAAGCAGCTGTCCTTCAGAGTTTCAGGGGTTCTGGGATTGGTACCCACGGTGTGTGGCTTTGTGTGGGATCGCAAGTACCTCGCGGGCACACCCGATGCACAGCAGCTCTCGCCGCCTCTCGCTGGCACCTGTCTGTCTGCCGTGATTGCCAGCTGTTGGGTTTTCTCCTCTGGGACTCTACTGAGTTTAGTGGAAGGTGCCTGGCATAGTGTAACTGCTGGTCTGCCCTGGGAACCTAGGTGTCTGAAATGCTCTGCTTGGTCCAGTGAATGAGGGAATAGTTAACTGAGTCTGGATCCAAATCCTCTTCCCTCTGAGTATTGTGAGAAAGTCCACAGTCTCCTAGCACTGGAGTGAACAAGAGGAGGGTGCGCTCACTCCTCTGTCACTACCAGCTCCTTTGTTCCTTCTTCACTTCATTTATTCTTGCTGTCAAATGTTTCACCAGGTCACCAACATGACACTTCTTGCAGTGTGCCCTCCTGGCTCATGACTGTCCTAATAAGGTGAGGACTGGGCTACTCGGAAGTCTTCAGTTCTTTCCACCTTTGCTTCCTTCCCACCTTCCTCTCTGTCCTGGGCACCAGGAAATCCCACCGGAGCCTCCTCTCCACCCACTGTTTGCCTTTCTTGGCTTCTATCTCATTTCTGTTTTCCTGTGTCTTTGGTCTTCGAGTTGAGAGGGTTTTGTTCATTTTATGTTTTGTTCCCATGCCTTCTCCTGAGGGGGTTTTCTGCTTCCCCAAATCAGTAACAAAGCATTTAGCCTTTCTGTGCCTTTTCTTTCTCATAGAAAACTTCCACATGGAAGCAACACTCTTTCTCACATCAACTTGGAGACTGGTTTGAATGTTTGAACACTATTTTTTTAATGTTTTCATTTATTGTGTGTATATACTTGTGCTATGACATACAAGTGGAAGTCAGAGGACAACTCTCAGCAGAAGTCAGATCTCTCCTTCTACCATCTACCATGTGGATTCTGGGGCTCAAACTCAGGTCCTTATGATTGGTCCCAAGCCCCTTTATTGGCTGAGCCATCTCATCAGACCAACAGTATTTTCTTCAATATCTTTTCTTATTTTTTAAAAATATTTTTATTTATTTTTATTTTATGTGTATGCATGTATTGCCTGCATGTAGGTAAGTGGACCCGTGTCGTGCAATGCCCACGGAGGACAGAAGAGGACGTCAGATCCTCTGGAACTGGAGTTACGGACAGTTATTAGCTGCCATGTGGGTGCTGGGATTCAAACCCGGGTCTTCTGCAAGAACAACCAGTGTTCTTAACCACTGAGCCATCTCTGCAGCCCCTATTTTTTAGTTTTTTATTTTATTTCATTTTGCAATGGTGAGGACTGATCCTTGGGCAGTTCCGACAAGTGCTCCACCAGAGCCACACCCCCAGCTCTTTTGTCAATATCTTAATTAAACTTGTTTTCATTTTGCCAATCTTTCCATCTCAGTGTTTATCTTGAAGCTACCATTTCTTTCTCAGGCTGCTTTTCTTCCACAGTCTGCAGGTCCTTTCCCGGCGCTTGCTTTCCTGGCTGTAGTTTCCCCTCCTGTCCCAGCCCTTTTCTGTTTTCTGTTGATGAGGGAAGCAGAGCCCCCACTGGACCCACCCAGGCGGCATTTAATTTACCCTGCAACATGGAGCTCTGTTTCCACAGCAGGCTTTCCTCTTGAGTGGAGGTCTGGCTTGGGGTCTTTCACGAGAGGTGCTGGGAGAAGTCTAAGGCTGTTGTCTTTTGGTGATGTGGATTAGAACAAGAGGCAAGCTCAAGAGGACTCCTCCCCTGGCCAAACAGAACAGACTTTGCCTAACTGTAGCACATGTTTGTCTGCTCCCCCAGAATTTCCTGAAAAGAGAAATGCTCTATGTCAGAGCACTATGCACAGTGCTGGGCTTCTGACTAGTCACAAAGTTCCCACAGACTCTGGGGACAGTTCTCTGCTTGTTATGGGGGACAATCTCCTGAGCACTAGTCCTCAGGTGAGAATCTGGCAATCCATCTGCTGATCACGTTCCTGATGAGCTCCCAACTCACATAGCTTCTGAGCTCAGATGCCTTGCTGGGAACTGAATGGAGACTGAAGCTTTGCACAGTCTACACCTGTGGTAAAAGGCAAATGGTGCCTGGGGTAGCAGCCTCCCACTCACTGCCAGAAACTAATAGAAACCTCTCACCTGCCTGTGGCCCTGCCTGCCTATAGCCCTGCCTGCCAATGGCCGGTCCCTGCCCTCTTCTGTGGTGATTAGCCTGGAGCTTTTGGGCTTCTTTCTGAAGGTATTGTGGGGCAGAAGAGACAGATGTGTGTGAAGTGAATCCAAGCGTGTTCTTTACTCTTGAACTCGTCATCTCTGAGAGACTCCGGACTCATTCAACAGCTGTTTCTTGAATGGCACTGTGGACCAGAGCCAGGTCCCTTCTTGGGCTCCAGGGTCATCCCCTACTTGTCCTCCAACTCTGCACCCCAACCTCCATGTTCTTTGTGGACAATTTCTCCCCTTCTGATGGCTTCGGATACCACAGAGATATGCCTGATTTCTAAAATTGTATCTTTAGCCCATATCCCTCTCCTGAGTTCCAAGACCTATATCTACCTGTCACCTGGACATCTCTACCTGTGTGTCACAGATACCTGGAGTGTACTACACTGCCCCTCCCTCCCTTCCTCCTTCCATTCCTCCTTCCCTCCCTCCCTGTCTCTCTGTCCCTCTCTCCTTCCATCTCTCTCTCTCTCTCTCTCTCTCTCTCTCTCTCTCTCTCTCTCCCCATCTCTCCCTCCCTGCCTCCCTTTATTCCTAATACATTCTTTGGCCTGTTCCATCTCTCTCTGTACGGTACGTAGCAGCAGCACCAGCCCTTTACCTTCACTGCATAACAATTGTCAGTTAATTCCCTGGAGAATCTGTCTGAAGTTTCCATCCCTGCCACAGCCGCATGTTACAGTGTATTACCAGTCTGTTACCATCTCTCTAACTTCTCATTAAAACGGTTTCCAAACCCTGACCAGCATGTTAGGTCTGGTAATTCTTTGTAGTGGGGATGACCTATTCCTTGTAAGATACTGACCAGCATGTTAGGTCTGGTAATTCTTTGTAGTGGGGATGACCTATTCCTTGTAAGATACTGAGCAGCATATCTGAACATGGCCACGAGATGGCAGTAGCAACTTCTCAATTTTAACAAGAACAAACTCCCCCAGATGCCACTGTCCATAGCGGTGATCCCCATAGAACAGCCTTGCTTCCCCAAGAGGTTCATAGGTCAGGCCAGGGGTGCATGGAAAGAAAGTACTAGAATATCCATTAACTTTTCTTCTTTAAAAATTAAGAAAGTTCTTGGACTTTACTTCTGATGAGTGGGTCAAGAGTTGTGTCCATACCCTGAATGAGGAGTGTCCAGGGACTTTAGCTGGTGGAGGTCACTGCTCCACTGGAGAAAAGTCGGTATCCTTTCTTTGACCCCTAATCACTTCCACAGTTCTTCCTCCAACTGAGCCGCCAGCGTTCCTCCCTCACACCACATTCCCTGTAACTCCTTTGTCAGGTATGTTTTCAATACTCTGTGCATTTGTGCCTGCTGCTGCCCCACATCCCCACAGAGCTCACAGCCCACGTGCAATCACAACTTCATGAAAGGGCTGATGAAATGGCTCAGTGGATCGGCTCAGTGGATTGGAGTGCTTGCTGTGCCATCGTCAGGCCTGAGTTCCAGTCCCCAGCATCCTTGCTAAAAAGCTAGGCATGGTGGTGCACAGCTGTAATCCCAGCACTGAGAGGCAGAGACCAGGGAATGACAGGGGGAAGAACAGGGGGTGGACTGACCAGTCAGACTAGCCAGTCTGTGATCTCCAACTTTATCAAGACACATTCTCTCAAGAGGTTAGGGAGCTGGCTCAGTAGGTAAAAGCATTTGCTACACATACCTGATGATTTAAGTTCAAATCCTGAGAACTCACATAAAAGCCAGACACAGTGGCACATGCATCTATAATCCCAGATTACATTCAGGAGATGGGAGACAGTGACAGAAAATTTCCAAGAGCTCTTGGGCCAGCTGGCCTGGTGGTGAAGCGATCCTGTCTCCAACAAGGTGGGAAGATGGAACCAAGACCTGAAGGTTTTCCTCTGACCTCCACATATGCATCATGGCATGTATGGTCCCACACCCTCACACACAAACACACACAAAATTAATTAGTTAAAAAAATAAGGTGGAGAGCTATTGAGGCGGATACCTGACATTGATCTCTGGCCTCCACATGTGCATACAACTGCATGTATCTCTCTGTGCTGGATAGCTTTAGTGTCAACTTGACACACCTGAGTTGAGGGATCCTCAATTGGGGAATTGCCTCTATTGTACTGGCCTGTGGCCATGTCTGAGGGACATCTTCTTGATGAGTGATGTGGGAGGGCCCAGCCCACTGTGGGTGGTGCCACCCCTGGGCAGGTTGG